TGGCTATCCGTAAGAGTGACCCTGGGTAGGAGTGACCTCTGGTGCGCGGCTCCTTGGGGACCGCGGGGGGGTGGCGGGACGCTCCTATCGCATCGCGTTCGGCGATCGGGGGAACCCCGATGGGCCCGCACCAAAGGTCACTCCAGCGAAAGGTCACTCTTACGTCTAGTCTTAAGTCGGGCGTGTCCCCCTACAGGGGGGTTGTCGACGAATAATAAAAAAGTTTCAGAAAAATACTCCAAAATGGTCAATCGTCCCCAGACTATGTTTGGACTATGTTTGAATCTTCCCCGACAGGCCCGACTTACGTCTGGTCGAGAGAGGCGGGGGGCTCGCACCGAGCTCTGGTCCCCGACGCTCAGGGTTCTCAGCTGGTTCAGCTTGGCGTGCAAGGTGGGGGGCACGGCCAGGCCTCTGGAGCGAGGGCGAAGAGAGAGGCAGAGAGGGAGAAGGAGACGGAGGAGGAGGAGGAGGAGGAGGAAGAGGAGGAGGAGGAAGAGGAGGTGGAGGAGGAGGAGGAGGAGGAGGAGGAGGAGGAGGAGGAGGAGAGAGAGAGATAGAGAGAGAGAGAGAGAAAAAGAGCCAAAGAGACCAAACAGAGCCGGAATGATTCCCATGATCCAAGCCTCCCCCTGGGGAGAAGGGTCCTGGAACCCGTGGCCTTTCCCCCAGGACCGGCCGGCTCTCCCCCTGAGCCGTGCGGCTAACGGCCCTGGGGAAAGAGGAGGGCCCCAGGAGCCCGAAGGCGGCTCGAGGCCTCTGGGACCCGTTGCCCCGGAATGCCCGTGTGCGTCACGTCGACCTGGGCCGCCCTGGGAAGCGGGCCGCGCAGCTGGGCCCGGCGGGCCCCTTCGCCTTGACCAGCCGCTGGGGGGAAAGAAGAGGGCGGCGCAAGGAAGGGGGGAGAGGATAGAGGAGAGCGCGGAGGAGGAGGAGGAGGAGGAGGCTCTCGGTCCTCGAGGAGGAGGGGCGGAGGAGAGGGGAAGCAGGAAGACGACGAGGAGGACCTCGCCAGGGGCGGCGCCGGATGCGCAGCCAGGGGGGCCCAGCGCCGACCCCAGAAACTCGCGCGGAGCTCCGGGAGCTGATGCTCATGCAACTCATTTTGAGCAGCACCCGACCGTCACGGCAATCCTACAGGCCTAACACGACATGTCCCGATAACACACAAACGCTTTAGGAACAAAAACCAGGTTCTCAGACCATGAGCCACATGTGTTGAAGCAAGACAACCTCGGCCAAACATGTTCTGATAACCTCTGGTGCAGGCCACAAAAGGTGATTATAACATTCTCTGGTGGACCTCTAGGCACGCCAGGGCGTCTTGCCGCTGCTTGATCACTGCTCGTCGATCGAGATGGGGCCCGAGTAGATGGGGTCGAAGGATCGCGCCGCATCGACCCAATGCATCGCCGATGTACCGGCGATGCATCGGCGATGCACTGGCGATGTCGGCGATGCACCAGCGACGTGGGCGTGGAAAATCGAGCTCCGCATCGAGCCGCATCGGCCATGCATCGGCGATGCGGCGCGGACCTCCGACCCCATCTACTCTCCAAACCCATCTAGGAGGCCTAGGGGACGACACTGGGGTGCAGAGACAGGCCACAAGGAGCGGAAGAGGAGGAGGAGGAGGAGGAGGAGGAGGAGGAGGATAAGGAAGAGGAGGAGGAGGAGGAAGGGGGCAGGAGGAGAAGGAGGAGGAGGAGGAGGAGCAAGAAGAGGAGGAGGAGGAGGAGGAGGCAGGAGGAGGAGGCAGGAGGCAGGAGGAGGCAGGAGGAGGAGGAGGAGGAGGAGGAGGAGGAGGAGGAGGAGGAGGACCCCATGTGCTCGGACCCCACCCGAGAGGCCCGGACGAGGCGGGCTCCGGCGGGGCAGCTGGCGGATAGCGGGCGCACGTGGGGGGCGGCGGCGGTCGGCGGCCTAGGCCCGTCGCTCTGCACGGCCTGCTCCCGGCGTTCTGCGGGGGGGGGGCGGGCTGGCAGGAACGGCTAGCCCGAGGTCGGACCTGTCCCCCTAAAGGGGGAATTTGGACGAGAAATAGCACCACCCCCAAACATAGACTCCAAAACATTCAAAAAGTGTTACAAAAAAAGTCCGCAGACTATGTTTTACCATTTTTGAACTTTCGTCCTGTAGAGGGACACGCCCGACGTAAGGCTGGCAGGAACGGCTAGCCGCAAGCCGTCGGCAGGGCGGGGCCAAGAGGACAGCAGCTGGTGCTTGCTGCCTGTTGGCAGCCGTTGACAACGACGACGACGATGACGACGCTGACGACGTCGGTGGCGACGACGCTGCCGACGACCGCGACAACCACGTCGTCGATGACGCCGCTGCCGCCAGGCGCATGCAGGACCGACAGTCACGGTACTCCTGCCGGCCCAGCGCGGAATTTTCTCGGAGCCGACCTATACAAAAGGGAGGACACACTCGGCAGTCTGCGCGTGCAGTGCAAAGACAATATGCTGCTGGTGAGCGGTATCAGAACAATGTTCTAATCTCAACCTTCTGCTCATGTCCGCTCTCTGCTCGTTAGCTCCCCTCCCTCTCCAATCTCGCTGTCTGCCTCTCTATGTCTCTTTTTCCGTATTATGCTTGCTAATTCTCCATGTCTCTCTCTCTCTCTCTCTCTTTGTTCTCTCTCTCTCTCTCTCCCTCTCTCCCTCTCTATCTCGTCCGCTTTCAGGTCGACGTCTGTGGACTCGAGTCGAATTCGAATCGAACTTTCGTAGAACTTGAATGACACTAGAATCGAGCAGATGCGTTCGGAGGGCCCCAAAAAGGTCTCCCAAACGAGCATCTAAACCAAAATCAACCCGCCCAAAGACTAGACCCTCTGGGGATCAGAAACGTACCGGTACCGCCACTCCCATGAACTCTCCCCAGTTGCATTCTGACCAACGTGTTGAAGCGAACCCGACCTTGGTGACGAGGGCCTCCCAGGAGGACCACAGCGTCGAAAGCGATAGAAAGGTACCGTATCGGTGCCTGTTTTCTGTCCCCCCTCCCCCTCCATACATCTATATATACACACATATATGTACATATAGTATAGTATATATATATAGATCGAGAGAGTGAGAGAGAGAGAGAGAGAGAGAAACAAACAACAGCAGACATACTGTATAATATCTCGGAGGTTCGAGCGGAGTTATGAGATCGGTCCTGGAAGCCCTCCCTTGCGCGCTCCGCCGGGGGGGCCCAACGCCGCTCCAGGAAATCCGCGCGGACCTCCGACCAATAGTTCATGCCATGTTTGGTTTCTCGACGGCTTGGGTGCGAGCCCGGGGGGGGAAGTCAGACGGGGCGGCCCTTCTCAGGAAGGCACGGAAGGCCTCCGAAGTGTCCTGTGCCTCCTCCGAAGACGCACAGGAAAACGACGCAGAAGGCGCGAGGCGCGAGGGCTTCGGAGAAACCCCGCCGCCTTCTGAGAAGGCCACCTCCTTCTCACTTCCCCCCCTTGGCTCGCCGCCGAATCTGGTCTTTGCATCATAGCTCGGATCTCCGGCGGCCGCTCGGGACGCTCCGGGCACCCCGGGCACGCCCTCGGCGAGGCGCACGGCCGCTGGAAGGCCCCCCGGGGCCGGAAAACCGCCGAGAGCCGACGAGAGAACGTCCAACACAAGCCTCGACCTTCGAGTAGAGCTGAAGGAGGAGGAGGATGAGGAGGAGGAGGAGGAGGAGGAGGAGGAGGAGGGGGAGGAGGAGGAGGGGGAGGAGGAGGAGGGGGAGGAGGAGGAGGAGGAGGAGGAGGAGGAGGAGGAGGAGGAGGAGGAGGAGGAGGGGGAGGGGGAGGAGGAGGAGGAGGAGGAGCAGGAGCAGGGATGGGGGTCTGAGAACGTCCAACGCGAGGAAGCGTCGAACCCGAACTCGGCTCCTTCGAGTAGCTGTCGATGGCTCCCACGGGGACGTCGCCCCTCATCACGAGGCCTCGCGGCCGGAGGCGCAGGCGGGGGCCACGGCGCGGGAGCTCCGGCTCTGCGCGCACGGCCGCCCCCCGCCGCCCACTCCCAGAGAGGGGGGCGAGGGCGACGGGGAGGAGGAGGAGGAGGAGGAAGAGGAGGAGGAGGAGGAGGACGACGAGGAGGAGGAGCAGGAGGAGGAGGAGGAGGAGGACAGCACTGAGGGAGGATGAAGGGGCGGGAACGGGCGGAGGAGGGGGAGGGGAGACTTGTGGCCCTAACCTGCCTCGAGAATAATCCTCCCGCCCTCTCGTGGGGGGCGCACCGACCAGAGTTGCAAGGCGGACCCAGCCGTTCGTGTCAGGGGGCCCATCCAAGGCAAAATCATCCAAAAACCTCGACCTCGACCCTCGAACCTCAAACTTCCGAGCCCTGCGACGACGTCGTGCTGTTTTCCGCAAAGTGGACACGTGGAGGTCTGGACGCCTCTCCGGGGACCGGCTGTTCATCCTGCGTCAATCTTGACAATCCACTGCCAGCCTGGAACATAGCCCTGTCTCTATGCTGGGCATATCGCCCCACCACGATGCCGATCTTAGGGGTTCCCTTGGTTTCTGGGGGCGCATGCCTAAGGTTGTCATCACCTTTTGGCGTGTCAATCTTACGGATAGGGATAAGTTCGAGGCTGGTGAATCCAGGAGCCCTGACGGAAGCCTCTGACGACACCCTTGCGGCAGAAGCCCCCCCAAAAGACAGCCTTCCAGGGCAATCACCAAAACCCCTTGGCGTTCTTTTCCTCAGCGCGGGGAGTCTGGGCTCTTCCTTCCCCGCCCCCCCAGAGGCGGGAATCAATGTGTCCCACTGCTGCCGCGAAACCAGCCTGACGCCACTGTGGTTGTCTCGAGAAGCGCGCCGCCGAGGAAGCGAGAAACCAGAGGGGGAAAGCGGAACGAGCGGAGGACGACGAGAGCGTTTTGTGCGGAAGCGCCGTGCCCCCCCCCGCCCCCAGTGCAGCGCCAGGAGGGGGAGGGATGATAATGAGGAGGAGGAGGAAGAGGAGGAGGAGAAGGAGGAGGAGGAGAGGAGGCGGAGGAGGAGGAAAGGGGGGAGGAGGAGGAGAGGGAGGGGGAGGAGGAGGACGAGGGGAGAAGGGGAGCGTTCGTCGAGAGTTGAACAGAAGGGAGGGGGAAGAGGATCGTTCGTCGAGAGTGGAGAGCAAAAGGATGCAAAGAAAGATGAGGAGGAAGAGGAGGAGGAGGAGGAGAACGGAAAGGATGAGGAGGAGGACGAGGAGAAAAGGAAGGAGGAGGAGGAGCAGAAGGAGGGACCCCCCTGAGGCAGGGGAGTCCTGTGAGGTGGTGTCTGGAGCGCGCGGCCAACACTCTGACATCGAGGTCCGCGACCGTGACGCCGGGTCGGCAACCGTACCTGCGGCAGGGGGGGGATCGCCTCCAGTGCTCCTGCTCCTCCTGATCCTCCTTGCTCTCCTGGCTCCCCCCACGTTCCTTATCTTCCCCCTCGTCCTCCTCCTCCTCCTCCTTCTCCTCCTTTCTTGTTCCCCTCCTCCTCCTCCCCCCCCCTCCTCCCCCTCCTCCTCCCCCTCCTTCTCCTCCTCCTCCTCCTCCTTCTCCTCCTTTCCTCCTCCTCCTCCGCCTTCTCCTCCTCCTTCTCCTGCTCCTCCTCCTTCTCGTCCTCGTCCTCCTCCTCCTCCTCCTCCTCCTCCTCTTCTCCCTAGCCTTCTCCTCCTCAGGCTCCTGCTCCTCCCCGTCCTCCTCCAACAACCAACCAATATCATGCTCCTGTTCCTCCTTCTCCTCCTCCTCCTTCTCTTCCTCTTCGACCTCTTCGCACTTTTGCCATTCCCCCTCCTCCTCCTCCTCCTCCTCCTCCTCCTCCTGTTCCACCTCTCCTCCTCGTGCTCCTCTCCTCGTCCTCCTCCTCGTCCTCCTCCTCCTCCTCCTCGTCCTGTTCCTCCTCTCCTCCTCGTGCCCCTCTCCTCGTCCTCCTCCAGCTGGTTCCCTTTTCAAAGAACTCCCCCCTGTCGGACCCTTAGACATGTCGGCAGGGCGGGCCGAGCGTGTTGCCTGAGGCTTGATGACATCTTGCGACCCTGAGGCTTGTAACAAACGACCATTTAACGGCTGGGGGGGGGGGGGGGGGCGAGTCGTTTTCAACATGTAGCGCCCGCCTCAGCGAAGCGCGTCTTCGTCTCAACAGTATGGAGCCCGTTTACGGCTGGAGGTCTGGCCGAGTTCAAAAGATGGCTTTCACCTCAGCGCAGCGCACACCCCTTCCAACAGTTTGCGCCAACTTCAAGGATGGAGGCCGGCTCCGTTGCAACAACCTGCTCTTGTCTTAGCGCCGCGCGCATTCGTCTTAAGAGTTAGCAGCAAGGTCAAGGACTCGTATGGTTGAAGTTCCGACAAGGTGAGTTTGAAACCGATTCAATTGCGAAGCCTTCGCGGTGTTGAAATCCCAGGAACGGCGTTATGGCACGATGCAGGGTTGCCAGGGTTCATCAATCACGTTGATCCGCGGCGCTGATGTCCCAAGGACGGTGCTGTGGCACGATGGACAATTATCAGACGACTGCCTTCTCATGGGCATCTCCCCCAAAAGCAGAGGAGCAATTTTCGGGACCTGCGAAGAGATCGCATGAAGGGACGCCCTGTTGCAACATCGTTGGCGCGTCTTGGGTTTTCACTGGCCCTCCTCCTCCTCCTTCTCCTCCTCCTCCTCCTCCTCCTCCTCCTCGTATTGGGAAATCAAAAGGTACCGATACCGCTACTCTCCGGACCTCTCCTGGGGTACGTTCTGGCCAGGATGTCGAGGCGGATCCAGCGGTGGCGACGAGGGCCGCCCATGAGACCCCAAAGAGGGGAAAACCAGGGAAGGGTAGAGGTATGGGTACCTTTTCCTCCTCTGATCCTCCTCCTCCGTCTCTCCTCCTTCACGCATTCTTCCTCCAAAACGTGTCTTCAAGGCCGGAAGGGCGCTCCCCCCGAGGCAGCCCCGCCACCGACGACTTTTGGGCCGAGGACGTCGAGCAGCCCACGCGGCTGGGAGGTGGGCCAGACATGCCTCCCTTTCGTAAACCTCCCCTCAGTCAAAACGGCCTGGGACCGAAACCGATGGACCTGGACCCGCAAAGGTGACGGCCGCGACGCCCTCTCGCGAACCGCAAACGGCCAATTCCTGAATCGACGCGTCAGGGCAGGAGGTCGATCCGCCTCCGGAGATTCCACACGAAAAGGGGCTCGAGACTTGGCGCCGCGGACGCGCGTCTATACACAATCCAACAACCACTCGGGTTGGCTAGCGGCCAGTGCTTTGTTGCTCGGGCTCTCTCGCTCTCTTTTTGTTGTATCTCTCTCTCTCCATAGAGAAAGAGTGAGAAAGAAAGAGAGAGAGAGAGAGAGAGAGAGAAAAAAAGAGAGAGAGAGAGAGGGAGAGAGAGAGAGAGAGAGAGAGAGAAAGAGAGGCACAGGGAGAGAGACACCAACAAAACAACAACTACCCACCTTGGTAGGAATCACCCCGGCACGCGAAGACGCTCCGTAAACGCACCCACAGAGGGAATCGAGCACAGGGCAGGGCTGTCTGCAGAACGCGCCCACGGCCGTTTGGCACACGCCAATTCTCGGGTCCAGGTGGGCTGTCCTCCTTAGACCCTCCCCATAGACATCTCAACGGCTCGATGAACATCTATAGAATCGCGCAACTCTTGCACGGCCGTGCAACGGCCCGCTTTTGTGATAGAGCTCTCGCCTGAGACACCCCCGCGCATTGTCTGGAAAACTATGGATTTGTTTCTCTTCTCCGTGATGATCATAGCCCAACGGCTTCACGGCGTGACACAAACACACCACCCGACAAGCCTGACAAATTACACCGGACTGCGGCAAGAGTGTACGCGCGAAAGGATCCGTACGTCCTTGTGCAATAGCTGCACGGATTGTGTGTGTGTCATTGCTTTTCAAACTGGGGCTCTCGCGTGGACGAAAAGTATGTAGGAACTTTAGGACTAGCTGCATGTACTGTGTGCCATTGCTCTTCAAAATGGAGCTCTCGCCTGAGATCCCCTCAGTGTTTCCAAGTGTAGCGGGGGAAGCCACAAGGCACCGATACCGCTAGTCCCCTGACCTCTCCCAGGGTGCGTTCTGACCAGAATTTCGAAGCGAACCCAGCGGTGGCAACGAGGGCCTCCCAACAGGTCGGACAAGAAGAACAACGAGGGAAGGGCAGGGGTACGGGTACACTTTCAACGGGTAGGGGCAAGGGTAAAAAGGTATAGGTTTGGGCAAGGCTAAAAGAAGGATCGGGTTAGCCAGCTTGAACGAGCCAGAGGGCTCCGTCCACTCCCACCCGCGCCGCCACAACATAAGAAGCAAGTGCGTCGCGTCCGACGCAGTCGCTCATCTTACATCGTGGGCGGCTAGACGCTCAGCGCGCGACATGAGCTGCGTCCTATTCTTGCCGCGCGCTGAGCAACGTCGACGAGAAGCAAGACCGCGCGCGATGCACGCCGCGCCCCGCTCCGTTCTCTCATGTTGCATTGTCATCGACAACATGTCCAACGCGCGAAATGCGCCGCGTCTCATTCCAGCCACGCGCGTTGTACCGCCAATCGTTTCGCACCTGCCGCGCATGGAGGAAAGGGGGGGTGGAGGAGGATGAGGACGAGGAGGAGGAGGAGGACGAGGAGGAGGAGGAGGAGGAGGAGGAGGAGGAGGAGGAGGGGAGGGAGAGAGGGAGGGAGAAACTGAGGAGGAAGAGGGGAATGCCTCTTGGGAGTCCGCGGGGCGTCCCATTCCCGCTGCGCGATTCGCAGCGCCGACGAGGAGAAAGCACATGTTGGCAAGAAAACGTCGGCATCGCGTGCTTTTTCAAAGGTCGGACGGGGGGTCCCGCGCAGGGTGGGCCAGGCGTCCGCGCGCGATGTGCGCCGCGTCCCGTTCCAGCTGCACTTTTCGCTGTGTCGACGGCAAGAAAGTCCATGCTGACGAAAAAAACGTTGACTTGGCATTGTTTTGTGATGGGTAGGACGCGACCCCCCGCTTAGGGTTACCCGAGCGATGTCCATTCCGTCCCATTCCTGCTACACTTTTCGCAAATCGACGACATGTTGGCGATCAAAAGTGAGCTTCTGCTAGTTTCTGACGATAATGGCGGCGGGGTTGCTATCGGCCGGCTAGGTGGGGATGTAGGGGTGCTGAACCACAGGAAGTAAGGATAAAAAGGGGCATGGGCAGGGGAAGGGTAGGGAAAAGGTAGGGGCAAGGGCATGGGCAGGGGAAGGGTACGGAAGGATAAAAAGGGGCATGGGCAGGGGAAGGGTAGGGAAAAGGTAGGGGCAGGGGCATGGGCAGGGGAAGGGTAGGGAAGGATAAAAAGGGGTATGGGCAGGGGAAGGGTTGGAAAGGGGGCAAGGGTGGCTTCAATGATGCGTGGGGTGCTTGCATCCGAAGGGAGCTCGACGACGCATCCGGCGCTTCCCGTGCTGGAGCCGCGGGCCCCGCGGAGCGGCCCTCTCTCCTGGAAGCGCCTCGCGCAGTGGAAAGACAGCCAGCCAAGGCAGTCGGAGGAGGGAGCGTGCGATGGGGAAATCGATGACAGCCAGGGCTGGGCCTCAACGTTGTGTTTCGCTTTGTTATTCGTTTTGGTGTTCGTTTTGCTCTACCTGATTTTCTGTACCTCCCTCCCCAAACGAAAAATTAGCCTGGCGAAGGACCCAACCATATGCAGCTGCGAGTACCGCACGGATATGAGACGAAGGAGGGGGCACGCAAACTAGGCCCCTCTTCTCATAGGCACCGCGCCACTGGGGCCTTCGGTGGAACTCCCTATGGGGCCACGAAACGTGTGAAGGGTGTGCCGAAATGGGTGGTGGGGAGGCATGCGGACCCTGCCACTGGGGCCTTCGGTGGAGCTCCCTATGGGGCCACGAAACGTGTGAGGGGTGTGCCGAAATGGGTGGTGGGGAGGCATGCGAACGCAGCCACTGGGGCCTTCGGTGGAGCTCCCTATGGGGCCACGAAACGTGTGAGGGGTGTGCCGAAATGGGTGGTGCATGGGAGCCACTGGGGCCTTCGGTGGAGCTCCCTATGGGGCCACGAAACGTGTGAGGGGTGTGCCGAATGGGTGGTAAGCTCCCTATGGGGCCACGAAACGTGTGAGGGGTGTGCCGAAATGGGTGGTGGGGAGGCATGCGAACGCAGCCACTGGGGCCTTCGGTGGAGCTCCCTATGGGGCCACGAAACGTGTGAGGGGTGTGCCGAAATGGGTGGTGGGGGGCATGCGAACGCAGCCACTGGGGCCTTCGGTGGAGCTCCCTATGGGGCCACGAAACGTGTGAGGGGTGTGCCGAAATGGGTGGGGGAGGCATGCGAACGCAGCCACTGGGGCCTTCGGTGGAGCTCCCTATGGGGCCACGAAACGTGTGAGGGGTGTGCCGAAATGGGTGGTGGGGAGGCATGCGAACCCTGCCACTGGGGCCTTCGGTGGAGCTCCCTATGGGGCCACGAAACGTGTGAGGGGTGTGCCGAAATGGGTGGTGGGTGCATGCGAAAGCCATCGGTGGAGCTCCCTATGGGGCACGAAACGTGTGAGGGGTGTGCCATGCGCATGCGGACGCAGCCACTGGGGCCTTCGGTGGAGCTCCCTATGGGGCCACGAAACGTGTGAGGGGTGTGCCGAGATGGGTGGTGGGGAGGCATGCGAACCCTGCCACTGGGGCCTTCGGTGGAGCTCCCTATGGGGCCACGAAACGTGTGAGGGGTGTGCCGAAATGGGTGGTGGGGAGGCATGCGAACGCAGCCACTGGGGCCTTCGGTGGAGCTCCCTATGGGGCCACGAAACGTGTGGGTGCCGAAATGGGTGGTTCGAACGCAGTGGGGAGCTCCCTATGGGGCCACGAAACGTGTGAGGGGTGTGCCGACATGGGTGGTGGGGAGGCATGCGAACGCAGCCACTGGGGCCTTCGGTGGAGCTCCCTATGGGGCCACGAAACGTGTGAGGGGTGTGCCGAAATGGGTGGTGGGGAGGCATGCGGACGCAGCCACTAGGGCCTTCGGTGGAGCTTCCTATGGGGCCACGAAACGTGTGAGGGGTGCGCCGAAATGGGTGGTGGGGACGCATGCGAACGCAGGAGGGAGGAGGGCGAGGAGAAGGAGGAGGAGGAGAAGGAGGAGAAGGAGGAACGCGGGGACCGTCCCCTCAAAACGAGGACCCAGCACCACAGGATGGTTGGGAACAAAACACAGCTGAAGTCCAGCAACACAGCGTTTAGGCCCAGCCCTGATTACAGCATTGTTGAACCGCCACCGTGCCCCATGGCACGCTGTGGCGTGGCAGGATGCCGGGGGCTGTCTGGAAGTGTTCGTGATATTCTACAGGGCGCCACCCTCCTGGCAGTGCCCAGTCGCATGCTGCATACATCACCGCGTCCAACGAAAAACTGTAAGGATCCGCGCTCGGGAAGCCGCGTCCCCCCCCCCGCCCCTGGCAAAAACGAAGGACCCGCGCTGCCGAGGCCACGACCCAGCGTCTGCGCTCCCGACGCCACGATCCGTTGGCTAAGAACTACAGTGGGGGCCCGACCACAAACGACCTTCCACAAGCGCTGGCCGCGCCAGGACGACTGGCCCCGTCGTCTCCGGGCCTCCGACGTGCAGCCCCTCCGGGAGGAGTGCCTGGAGGGCTGCAGAGGCGCCGCAGAGGTTTCCCGAGGCTGCCGAACAAGAAGGCGACGCGGAGGAGGCATTCCTCCTCGGCCTTCCTCCCTCCTCCTCGCTCCTCCACCAGGGGGTGCCTGCCCCCTGCCCAGCCCCGTCCAATCCTCCCACGCTTGAGGGCGCCAGAGAAGCCCGCTCGTCCCCCTCGCCGCTCGCCCTTCCTCCTCCTCTTTCCCCTGCGTCTGGCCCTCCTCCTCCTCCTCTTCCTCTTTTTTCTCCTCCTCCTTCTCCTTTTCGACGTTGGTCATACATTGATCCTCCTCCTCCTCCTCCTACTCCTCCGCCGCTTTCTCCTCCCACACTGGGCGCCAGGAGCTGCGGTTGCCCCCGTGGGTCTCCAAGCGGCACCCGCGAAGGCCGAGGCCCTGGTCGCCTATGGAAGCGGCGCGCGCCCGCGCGTCAGCGAGGTTCGATGCGTCGTCGTCGGCGGCAGCGGCGTCGTCGTCGGCGTCGTCGTCGGCGGCGGCGGCGTCGGCGTCGGCGGCGGCATCGGCAGCGGCGTCGGCGTCGGCGTCGGCGTCGGCGTCGGCGTCGGCGTCGGCATCGGCATCGTCGTCGTCGTCGTCGTCGTCGCCATCGTCAGCGATATCGTAGTCCTGCCAAGTGTCTGAAAGCGTTTGGCCCTCTGGGGGCACCTCCGGATGAAGGAAACCTCGTGATGCGTACGGCAGATTCGTGCCGTGCCGACCCTGGATTTGGTCCCCGACACCGCGGGGATCGTTCAAACTTGAACGATCGGCCGTTCCGTGGACGCCGGTTCGTTCAACGACGGGCCGATTCTGGGCCGTGGGCGGCGTCCAACCTTAAACGCACGCGCTGGGGTAGCCGTCGGTCGGCACGACGCGAACCTGACGTACCTCTACGGGGACTTCTGTCGGCCAGCTCATCTTCCTTCTCTTCCGCCTCCCCGCCAGCTCTTCCTCCCGAGCCGCCGCTTTGGCGGCCACCCGTGCCCTGGGGAAGGAGCTTCCCACGGAGCCCGCAACAACGACGGCGAAGGGCCTCAGAACCCGTCTCCTCAAGTCGGGCGTGTCCTTCTACAGGAGGAGTATTCGAACATAGTCAACAAAAACGATATACAGGTACGATTTGCTAATAATATTTCTAAAACATGTTTGAAGATATATGGACTGTTTCTTATTAACCGTCCAGATAAAACAGGGCTAGGATCGGGATTAATCGCTCCAGAGCGTTCCGCAGCGCTCTCAGAGCATTCCGGAACGCTCTGGAGCGGCCGCGGCGCCCAATACATCCTCCAAACCCGCCGATTCTCCGAGATTTCGAGTTGTCCCGATCCGATTTTGTCCCGGACTTCGCGTCGTTCTACCAGAACCCGCCTGTAGGAGGACCTGCCCGACCTAACCGTTCCCCGCAGCCGCCGGGCCCTCGGCCGCGGGGCAACGCCGGCGGGGCGGCGGGCTCAGTGAGGCAGCGCCGAGCTGGCATCGGAGGGCCCACCGGCGGCAGGCCACCGATGGCGAAAGCGCACGGCCCTGGGCGGGGTGGGCAGAGGGCGGAACGATAGGGAAACGATCGGGAGACTCTCCATGGGGGGGGATCCCATGGGGGGGCAGGAGGGGATCCCCCCATGGGATCCCCTCCTGCCCCCCCATCGGATCCCCAGGGGATCCTATGGGATCCCCCCCCTGGGATCCTATCCCCCCATGGGATCCCCCCCCATGAAGAGTTTCCCGAAACAAAAAGTTGAGCAGGGACCGACCGTCCCGGCATTCCTATACCGTCGGGGCGTTCACCCGAGGAACCCTAAATAAGGAACGAGGCCCCTTTGCTCCATAAGTTAACCTTCGACCTCCTGTCGGAAACAGAAGGAACGCGGAGCCCCTCCCCAACGAAAAGGGCTCCTTCTTCAGGGCCCCGACTGCAGTCATACCATGGAATGTCCTGAGAACCCACAAAATGTCTTACGAACAGTGGCATGAACATAAACAAAACTCGGAGGTCCGCGCGGATGCCTCGGATCGGCGCGGGGCCTCCCGGGCGGCGCCTCCCGGCGCCGCCCCTGGCGCTCCGCGCGCCCTGGAGGGGGCTCCAGCGCCGATCCGAGAAATGCGCGCGGACCTCCGAATCTGCACCTACGTTTGCGCCACTCCTTGTTCCCCTCCGAGCATCCACCCCAAAAGGTCAGCACCCCCACGAGCGGAGCCGATCAGCAAACGCACCAGAGGAGAGAGCGGAACAGGGCACGGCGCTCAGTGAAAGGCCCCAGGCCGTTGAGGAAACGCCAGAATGGTCGGGCCCCAGCGTGGCTGTTTCCTCCCCTGCACTGGCCGTGGAGCCCCTATCGGCGAGGCGCTGACGATGGGAGGGGTCGGTGCGTCTCTCGCGGAGCCCATCCCCCCGAAAACTCAGCCCCCCCCCTCCTCCTCCTCTTCCTCCTCCTCCTCCTCCTGCTCCTCCTCCTCCTCCTCCTCCTCCTGATCCCCCCCCCACGTCGGGATTTTTGCTCAGCGTGGCCCCGCGAAGGTCCCGACCCACTCCCTGGGACCCGTGTTTCCTGCCGGGTTGATTGGGGGACCTCCTGACTCGGGCCACATCGGGCCTCGCATGATCCTGCAGGATCCTGCAGGATCCTGCGCCCGAGCCCGGGTCAAAGCCCCGCTTGCCCGGCAGGATCCTGCAAGATCCGGCGCTCTGGTTGACCCCCGTTTGCATCGACCCCCGACTCTTGAGCCCCGACCCTGGCACGAATGCTGCATTCCGGGCCAAGTCTTGACCGAGGCCCTCGCGGCCGAGACTGGTCACAAACCTTCCGTCGCGATGTGTGTCGCTACTTGAGGGGGTCTCTGCGGAGACACTTAGCGACCACAATAACATCGGAACACGAACTCGGGGATGTTTTGCGCATGCTAGCAATCCTCTGAATAACGAAAAAACCTAAGCACTGGTTGTGGTCGATGTGGGCGTCCAGGACAACCACATCGACCACAACCACAACCGAAGTGTTCGTGTCGAGGTTGGCGGGTTCTCCTCCGAGGGGCCATCCAGAAACATCATTCGTTGTGATTGTGGTTATTTGTTTTGCAGGGACCTTGCGAAAGATGCGCCCTTCCCTTCATTGGTGAATCAGTCAACGGAACGTTCGGAGGTCCGCAGAGATGTTTTGGATCTGTGCTGAAACCCCTTCGAATCAGCGCCGATCCAAAAAACATCCGCGCGGTCTTCCGAAAGTTCACCCGCCAGTCGGAAGAAGTAGGTGGAAATGTGGGAGGACGATAAGAGTTCATCGGGCCCGAGCCCGCCCGAAAAAACAACAAGCACAGCAGGCGCAGATCGATTCCTGGAGCAGGAAACGCGCTCTGAGTGGATCGGGATGTGGAGCGGAGGTCTCGAAGTACCTACTTCCAACGAGCAGCGTGTGCAACTGCCGTCGGGGCCCTGAAGAAGGAACGCTTTTCGTTGTGGAAGGGGCTCTGTGTTCCTTAATTGTTTCCCAGCTTGCCTGAGGGTTTCCTTATGTTTTCGATGGGAAATCGAAGTTTAACTTATGGAAAAAAGGGGCCTCGTTCCTTATTTAGGGTTCCTTAGGTCAACGCCCCGACTGTACGCCACCATTCGCTCCCCACCCCACGGCGGCCCTTCCCCCTCGCGGCGGCACGGCTGGCCGCCAGTGACGCACGTCACCGCGCGGAGCCGGTCGTGCACGGGGACCTCGAAGGGCGGCCCCTCCAGGCCTCCGGGCCTGCGGGCGCGCGCGGCTCGCGGCGCTGCCCAGAGGGGCGCGGGAGGGGAAGGGGAGGGAGGGGGCAGCGACGGGGAGGGGGAGCGACGCGCAGGGCGAGGATCAAGGCTGGGAGCGGGGGGGGCGGAGCGGAGGGGGAGGGGCAACGACAGGGAAGGGAAGGTGGGGGGAGGTGAGAATGGGGAGACGGGAAACGAGGAGGAGGAAGATGAGAAGGAGGAAGAGAAGGAGGAGGAGGAAGAGGAGGAGGACGAGGAGGAGGAGCAGGAGTAGGACGAGGAGGAGGAGGAGGAGGAGGAGGAGGAGACGGAAGACGAGGAGCAGGAGGAAAAGGAAGAGGAGGAGGAGGAGGAGGTGGAAGAGGAGGAGGAGGAGGAACAGGAAAAGGAACTTCCTTCACCGCGAACGCATTCGCATTAGTCCACAGTCTATCGTCCGCAAACAGGCGAAAAACATGAGAGAGGGAGAGAAGCAGCAAAAGGACAAGAGAGAGCGAAAGGGCACTGCCTGCTGATCCCCAGCAGCGCGGCAGGCTCCGCCACCCGCGCGCAAAACACCCGGGTGCCTCGCGCGCGGGGCATCGGCGCAGCCACACCCGCCAGTGGAAGTGGCGGGAGGCCTGGACCGAAGGTGGGGGGGGGGATGCACTCGGCACGGTGGAAGGACGCGGAACCCATGCCCCGCAAGGAGTGGCGCCTGCGCCACGGGGGGGCCCCGGCTGCAACTGATCTGGCCCCCTCCTCAGAGCCGCGCGCCTGGCGCCTCATCGACGGGCGCGGGGTGGGTGCGGCGGCGGGGCCGGGGTGGCGGCGGCGCTCCCCCGCGCGCCCCGCGCGCCCGCCCCCCTCGACCGCCCCGTCCGCAGCCAGAAGGGGCCTGCACCGCGGAGCAGCAAGCAGCAGGGGCGCACGCAGAGAAAAGGCGCGCGGCAACGGCGACAGCGACGACAGCACCGGCAGCCGGGGGGCCACGCAGGGGGCGCAAGAGCGAAGACAAAAACGATGCCCCCAACAGCGCGTCTCCCCGCAGGCGAGGGGGGCAGCGGCAGGGAAAGGGACGGAAAATGGTTCAAAGTGGGGGCCGGGATCCAAATAACCATGAGACCTTACGCCGCCGAGCTCAATACGCCCACGGACCCACGCTGAAACTACAAGCACAACGACACAAGGAAAAAGGACTGAACGCGGCCCACTCGGCCCCAAGGGCCAGTGAGCAGGGGCACTGATGCAAGGGCCCGCAGGCGACGCGAGAAGCAAGGCCCAGGACACAGCGACGGGCCAAAATGAAAAACTAAGAAAAGAACGCCGCCGAGGGCCAGGGGGCGCGACGCAACGACCCAGAGCACATGGGGATGGCGGGCTGTCGGAGCGGCCCTCGCTACCCTCGCCCTCCAGGAGCCCGGGCTGGCCGCGGCATGTTTGGCGCGTCGCCTCCATGGCAAACCGAAGCCGCCGAATTCGAGAAAGGCGCAAAGCGGGACCAGGGCCCACAGAAAAGGTGGGAAACAAGACCCTGGGACCCCATGGTCAGGTCCGGTCGCGGAAAACAGCGGCAAATATGTTCTTCCGCGTGGCCAGAAGCCTCAGCCGTGTGTGGAATACCTGCTACGGAGGAAGTACGGCGCCTTCGCGGTGGCGGGCATGGGTCTCCAGGAAGGGCACCGGCAGCGATGTCGCGATCCAGCCCCCGCGTAGGTCCCAGAAGAGTGAGGGTAGAGTACCGAGACTGGTCGTCGCGCAGAAGCCCCCTCCACCGCCCTGGCAGGTTCTGAGAGCCTCTGTCCAGGCAGTGGAGCCTGGCCGAGGTGCGAACCCTCCTGGAAAGAACCCTGAAAACGCAGGTGGGAAGGTGGGTGCGTGGAGCGGGTTCGAAGGCCTTGGGCCGCGACCAAAGGCGAACTGAGGCAGGAATCTCAACTTCCATGAACCGTTGTCCGACGCGAACCTGCAAGTGAATCAAAGGGGCCATCGGTGCTCGAAGCCCTACAAGATATGCGCGCACCCTAGACGGGATCTCTCCGCCCGCCGCTTGACGCTAGGAAACATAATGTCAGCAGCGTCCTCGCTAGTGCGCCGAATATCCGAGTTCCTCCACCAGGGAGGAAGCCGCCAATCAAGACAAACCTCATCATCACATGAGTTTCAGAAAGTGCTCCAGGTTGAGCGCAGCCAGATCATTCGCCTTGAATTTGACAATGGCAAGAGACGTAGTCGACTTCGACATCAGCCGCATGTCCACACATTCACATGATACCCCAGGCCACATGGCTGAATCAGCATACAAGGGTCGAGTGCGCGCATGGGGCCCGACGATGAAATCTGCACCGCCACCCGATCTTGTCTAGAAGCCTCTGGAGTGACACGAGCGAATTGAACCCGACGTTGCAGTGCCGATGAGCAGCTCGAATGAGGAAGCCGGTCGCCGTTGGTAGTCGACAGGAAAAAATGCCCGAAGATGCCGCGCCCTCTTCCAGAACCGAACCAGGACTTACCGCCGCGCCGCCTTGCGAGCCTCTAGTCCACCCCGGATCACAAGCAAGGCATCACGCATGCGTCTCGCGTTTCGCCGCATGAGACCGCCCCCCCCCCCCCCCTCCCCCGCGATAACAGAAAACGCGCGCAAGATAACGCTCCGCGGACATGAGCGCAGCGCGCGCCGATGTCCAGCGAGAGACCGGTGGCGGATGAAAGCAAGCCCAACAGAAGAGGCGCAGCAATGATCATCTCTCTGCCTTACCCCGCGCATGACTGGTTACCAGATCTCCGCCCCCCCCGGCGAAAGCGACCACTGCATCGTTATCCCTATGCAGAGAGATCTGGCAACCAATGGTCGCCCGCGCGGCGCCCGCGGCCCCGGGAACTCAGGAAAACCATGCCGACAGAATCGACCGGAATGTCGCCCGAGTATCGACGGATAAGGCGCCAGCTTCATCAGGCCCCCGCATAAACTGAAAACTTAAAATCTTTTCTCAGCCGCATTCGCCAGGAGATTGCGGCCCTTGACACGTCCGCCCTGCTGCTCCATGACCGCCTGTGGCGCTGCCTCATTCAGCCCGATGCAGATCGCGCCCGGGAAGATCTCGGCGCCCGCGTCGGCAAGAGAAACGGGGCGGAACCAGGTGGCCTCGAGACAGACGCCCCTGATCGGCGGGCTCTTCCCCCGTCGGCGCGAATGCCATTCCGCTGATCCTGCAGCCCCCAAGAAAAAAAGTAGCACCATCGCTATCTCAAACCGCTTCGCAAACGTCAGGCATGACATCCGCTGCCTTAGGACTTAGGGACCGCCCAGAATCCACGCGGCATGCCATTTGGAGCATCGCGCCGCTTGAAACGCACGCCCTTTCGAAATTCGACCTGGCCCAGGCGCCAAAAGGTTTGCGAGGGAGGTGCCCGGCCGACTGCGCGCGGGAAATGGTCGCGGACCAGCGCAGTTTACCGCGCGGGCAGAAACTCTTCATCAGCGGGGGGCCTGCGCGCGGGCCACGCCGCCCGGGCCGGGGCGGGGGGGGGGGGGCATTCTCGCCCGGCGCCCCCCGCTCAATCCCATGCGACGTCTCATCAGCGGCCAAACCATCGTCGGGGCCAATTAGCACTTCTTGAGCTTGCTCTTGACCTCCTCCGCCCCCCCGCCCAACTCCACTTCGTCCAGCCCCTCCTCGTGCCGCCTGTTCTTCAACGCGCTAATGAGAGAGAGATGGCCGCCGGGGCCCGCGCGCGCGCCGCGGTCAACATCACAGCAGGGAACGAGAGCACCATGGAATCGGAGGACACGAACGACAAGACGCCACCGACGTCCTCTCCTCCCTCGGCATGGCATGAGTGCGAAATGGACACGCTCCGCGTCGCGCGATGCTTGTCGGTCCTTCAGAGACTGCCAGAGCCCGTCGACTCCAGTGCCCAGAAGGGGCTCCCACTTTCGAAATGCGCTCCGAAATTTCATCCGGCGGGGCGAGTTCCCTGGGCTGCTCTGATGCCATCCTCCTGCGCCCAGCGTGCTGACCAAATCTGTTTTTGCGCAGCGAGGGGGCCTCAGGGTTTGGGCCAGGCGATAGTCGCTGCTTCGGGGGCGTGGTCCGACGACGCCCCGTTGTTGGTCCGGGCCCCCGCTGCGCTAGCCGGTGCAAACATCTCATTGGCGATGCCCGACGGGGGGGTCGGCGTAGACTGTGTCGAGCCGAGAGAACCCGCGAACATCGCCACTGACTATGTCCCTGCGCGCGGGGTCAGGCTGAGCAGTTCCACGCCGGGAGTCGCATTCTTCGCGACCAGGCGCCGCGCTGCAACCGACCCCCAGGGCCGGGCCCATCCCTCGCAAGAAACCCCATCTTCCATCGGGGCAAAATTCTAATGCCCTGCTACCAGCGCGACAACTGTGAGCTGCAGCGCGCAGGATCTGGTTCAGATGCAACTTATGCGCGCTAATGATTACATGCGTCATTAATCTGACACGTCACAATCGCCGGGCCCCCCGCAGTTTCCGAGCAATTTCGCTTCTACCACCCCGATATGAGCCGCGCGCGGGCACATAGCATGGAGACAATCATAAACAAATTTCAAGCACTCCCCCAGCTCCCGGATCATCCAGCAAGTCGCAATCTAAGATGCCCGCGCGCGTCTCGTCAGCTAACGAGGCCAAGTCGGCCCTTGGGCCGTGACCCCCCTGGAAACAACCGATCCGATTTCTCCCTAGTCACCTCTTTGCCCGCTGAAGCCTGCAGCTCGCTCGGGAAGAAGGGGGGTCCGACGGCGAAGAGAAAGCGAGTGCTCCACACGCAGAGCGCGAGCGGAGTAGATGGGCAATCGACTCCGCCAGCATGCCCAGCCAGCGGAGGGGAAGCTTGTGACGCTGTGACAAGTGAACTGCAACTATCGCAACCTTCAAGAGACGGGGGTCCAGTTGACCTCGCATATGCCGAAGCTCTGGAACTGCTCCCGCCGAGCCCCCATTCCATCAAGACAGCTGTTGTGCTCGCCGAGTTCGGCCAGCCTCCGAGGTGCGGACGCGCCAGCAAGGCGCGCGTGCTTCACCCTCGACCTTGGCCAAAACAGCGCTGTCCACCGTGAGTCGCCACAGGAACAGAAGTGGCACCCGCGGTCGCAGAAACTTGCCCCCCCCCGAACCCCGTCGATCAGACGCGCTCTTGCCCGGAGACCTGCGCCACTGTCTGCCTCGCATTCCCGAGATCGTAAACCGCCTCGCAGCAGGCTGAGGGGGGTCACGGCGGGCGCGGAGCCCAAGGCCCAGTCCGCCCTCAGGACCAGGAAAGGCAAAGGGGCCCTGTGGAATGTGGAAGCCATCAGAGTGTTCGGCAAATCGACCAACACCTTCCCACAACAGTTGAAAACCCGACTCTGATCTCATGGGATGTCACTGGCCAGCGAACACTAATACAGAAGCGGGCGGCGGAATCCCGGGGCAAACGAATGAGAAAGCTTGCCAGCGTCGCCTAGCCCGATGCGACGACGAACCTGCCGCTCTATACGGTCACCATCATCGGGAGTTGCCGTTTCATGAACGGGGGTGCCTGCGCCTCCGGTCTGAGTCTCCCTCAACGTCGCTCGCTCCTCCTTCATCGCGTCAGTGGTCCCCATCACGTCCTTCCCCAGATCCTTCTCGACAGTCTCACGACCTCGAATGGCCTGCATGAGGGACTACTCCCGGATAGAACGAGCATGTCCAACATTAGCCATCGTCTGCTTTGCGAGATCTGCATGAGCTGCCTGCAAACTCTAAGAGTTCTTCTCAGCCTGCAGCATATGACCCTGGATTCCTTCAACATGCGGTTTAATCTCAGTAACACCCCGATCAGATCGCCGAGTGGGCGAATCAACGCTGCACGAGATGAGGCTCAACGAGCTCTCTGAATGCGGCAATCAGGTCGGAGCCCGTCGTGCTCGTATCTGGGGATGGCGGGCAGTCGGGGCGGCCTTCGCTGCCCGCACTCTCCACAAGGGTCGTGGTACCATGCGACCTCCGTGGTCACGGCATGGCTTGGCGCATCGCCCGCATGGCGATGGGGGCGCGGCCACGGCCCGCCCTTGGTGCCTGGCCACCAAGCGCCTTGAACCGAAATGGCTTGAGCCACATGGGCAACGGAAAAAAAGGAGGAGGAGGAGGAGGAAGAGGAGAAGGAGGAGGAGGAGACTTGACTTTAGAATCCCGAAGCTTAAAATCCGCTCTGCGTCATAAACAAGAGGATGCGCAGGAGAAGGGCCTCGAAGGGCGGTCCCTCCACTCCTCCGGGCCTGGGGGATGCCAGGGGGTCGAGTGGGCCGTCGGGGTACGGAGGGGAATGGGGAGGTTAGGGGTAATCATCGGGGGAGAAGGGGAATGATCTCGATCGGCGGCCCCTCCACTTCTCCGGGCCTGCGGGAGTGCGAGGCTCGCAGTGGGCTGGCGGGGTGCGGAGGAAGGAATCGACAGTCAGCTGCACGCCAAATGTGGGGGGGGGTTGTCGTGCAACGTTGTCTGACGTTTTCGTCAGTTCCAGGACGTGTTCCACCCTCGGGATGCTTTCCAAGAGTTTTCGCCTCGCAGAGCGTTCCAGGGGCGCACTGATCGCCCCGTACGGCCGCAGGATGCCCGAGTTACCGAAGACCGAACACGGCGGCGCGCCGAGAGGGGAAGTGAGAGAAGGGGCAAGCTTCCCAATAGACGGATGGGCATCTCAGAAGCCACCCGGCCTCCCGAGAAACCGCGGATTCGTCTTCGGAGAAGGCTCGGAAGGGTCCCCAGGAGGCCGGAGGGTCCTCAGGAGGCGGGAGGCCTCCTAAGCCCTTCGGGAGGCCCGCCCGCTCTGCCATCCCCCCATGGGTGCGCCGCCGGGCGACTACCTCTGCCGAACTTGCGGCCCGCGGGGGGGCGGTCTTCGTACGTTGTTGGCGCTTGTCGGGACTCCAGGGGAGGGAGAGGAGGAGGCGGATGCGGAGGAGGCGGAGGAGGAGGAGGAGGAGGCGGAGGCGGAGGAGGAGGAGGAGGAGGAAGGCGAGGAGGAAGAGGAGGAGAAGGCGAGGAGGAAGATGAGGAGGAGGAGGAGGAGGAGGAAGGCGAGGAGGAGGAGGAGGACGAGGAGGAGCAATGTCAGCTCGACGTGAACGAGTGGGGCCTGCCCCGAAGCGCGGCTGCGGAGCAGGCTTCGCTGCCCCGCCGCCCTTGCGCAGACCTGTGTGCCGTTCTGTCGGTCGCCCCCACCCCCCCGCCCTCCCCCTTTTCGGCCCCCGCGGCGGTCGCTGTGTCGGGCCATCGCCGACTCCCCTCGTCGTTCTCGCGGCCTGTCTGTACACTCCGAGCTTCTGAATAAGCGTCGGAGAGGCGTCGCTCCCGCCGACAGCCCACCATCGACCCCCGTCGCGGGCAGCCACCGCGCGCCGAAGGCGATCCGACCCCGGTCGCGGCGCGACGACGAGGCGAGGTTGACCCCCGTCGGGGGGCTCACTAGAACGCCAAGATTAGGGAGCTGAGGCTCGACGCGTTACTCCTCCTGCGTCGCGCCTGTCGTCTTCCCTCCTGGCTTTGGGGCGCCTGTTCTGCCCATTCGAATGACGGGCGCGGCCGCGTCAGCTATGATCATTCGTCGCTCCTCCTCAACGTCATCCCTGCCCCTTATGATTCTCTTTCTCCTCACCATCCCTCCCCACCCTTCCTTGCCCTCCTCGTCGTCTTCCTCCGCCTCATCATCATTGCGTGCCCTCTCGTCTCATCCTCATCCTCCTCGGACACGTCCTACCCTCTAAGCCGCAGATTCGTTATCCTTGTTCTCGTTCCCGTCCTACGTTCTCACCCCCTATCTGAAAGGACGTGACCGATGCGTGTGCAAGATCGGGTCGCCACCTTGTCGCCATTGATCCAACTCGGGATGGCGCTGGACGGTCACTTTGCTCCAAGCATAGGCAGGGAGAGAGAGTGGAGGAGAGGGGCTGGGAACGAGAAGGCAGGGGAAGGGATGACCGCTCCTCCCTCTCATCATCCTCATACTCCCTCCCCCGTCCTTCTGCTCCTCCTGGTGTTCCTCTTCCTCCTTCGGCTCCTCCTGGTGCTCATGCTCCAGTTTCTACTCCTACACCATCTGCTCCCCTTCTCCCCCGACCCTCTTATCCCTGCCCCTGCTGCTCCTGTTCCTCGACCTGCCCCTCCCCCACACTCCACCCTCCACATCCTCCCCTCCCCCTCTGCATCCTTCCTTCTCTGCGCCGTCTCCCTCCCTGGTCCTCCTCCGGTCCTCCCTGGTCCTCCCTCCTCCTCCTCCTCCTCCTCCTCCTCCTCCTCCTCCTCCTACTCCTCCTCCTCCTCCTCCTCCTCCTCCTCCTCCTCCTCGTCTTCCTCCTCCTACAACCACGACAAGGACGACGACGACGACGACGACGACGACGACGACGACGACGACGACGACGACGACGACGACGACGACGACGACGACGACGACTACTACGACGACGACGACGACGACGACGACACGCGGCGTGCGACCAGCCGCCCTGGGGAGCGCCGCGGGCGCAGAGCGGGCGGGGCCTGCCGAACGCGCTCAGCTGCCCGTCCTGTCGCACGGGCGCGCGGCCCGATGCCCGGCGGCCTCTCCAGCACCTCCGCCTCCAGCTGCACCTGCACATCCTCCATCCATCTCCTCCATCTCCTCTCATCCTCCTCCTCCCTCCTCCTCATCCTCCTCCTCCTCCTCTCCTCCTCCTCCTCCTCCTTCCATATCCTCCATTTCCTCCACTCCTCCATTTCCTCCTCCCTCTCCTTCTCTCCTCCTCTCCTCCTCTCCCCTCCTCCTCCTCCTCCTCCTCCTCCTCTCTCCTCGTCCTCCTCCTCCTCCTCCTCCTCCTCCTCCTCCTCCTCCTCCTCCTCCTCCTCCCCCCCCCACTCAGCCCCGTCTCCTTGCATCCTGCTCCTCCTTCGTCTCAAGCCCCCAGCAGCTCAGCAGTCTGAGTCACTCGAGGCCCTCGGCCGACTGGCCGACCAACCTCCTCCGTCGCCTCCTCCTCCTCCTCCTCCTTCCCTCCTCCTCCTCTTCCTTCTCCTCCTCCTCCTCCTCCTCCTCCTCCTCCTCCCCCTCCTCCTCGTCCAGCAATCGCCTCCTCCTCCCCCTCCTCTATCCCCATCAACTCCTCCATTACCTCCTCCATCTCTGGTCCAGCATGCTCACTGTCGCTCCGCCGCCATTTCGAGCACCAGCTCCTCCTCCTCCTCCTCTTTTCCTCCTCCTCCTCCACCTCCTCCTCCTCCTCTTCCTATTTTCCATGCCATCTGGCCAGTCGCTAGTGTAACCAGGCTGTGTTAGCAACCGACGCAAGGAACATCGGCCGAGGAGACCAGAAACTGATTTCGAACTGCCCTCACTTGGGCAATGGGTAGTGGTAACGCTCAAGGAATTAATGGTGATGATACCGTGTCAAAGTATGTGCTGTGCAGCGCTGCGTTGTACCGCTGTGTGCCGTGCTGAGATGAATTTGGCTGTCTCATGCAATGTTGAACTGTGCTGTGCTCTATAGTGTTGTGAATGCAGTCGTCCGTGCCGTCCAAATCCTGACCACACGGATCTGAATATTCAGCTTCAGAGCTCGCCAAGGGCTGGATTTAGTCGAAACGTGCGGGGCCCTCAACCAACCCGAGCCCAAGATCCGACCCAGTGCGGAAGCGGGACAAACCGGCAGGGGGCGCATGGACGCGCCAAAGGACATGCTAGGAGCGCCAGATGATGCTCCAGGAGCCGTAGAGGGAACGTCTCAGGGGATGTGCCATGGACGTGTGAGGGACGCGCCACGGCACTGGCAAGGTACGCGCCGAAGGACGCGCCAGGGGACGAGCCATGGAACCTGCCACGGGACGCGCCAGGGGACGCCCCAAGGGACGTGTCAAGGGACGGCCCAGGGAAGCGCCACGGAACTTGAAGGAGAAGCGCCAGCGGACGAGTCGGCGAACGTGCCACGGGACGCGCCAGTGGACGTGCAAGGGTACGCGGCAGCGGACGTGCCAAAGACGTGCCAAGGATCGTGGCATGGACCTGGAATGCTCCGCGGAGCGCGCCAGCGGACGCGCCGGGACGCGAGCCGGGCGACGAGCCAGGGGGGGCGTGCGAGGGGACGTGTCCGGGCATGCGCCGCAAGACGTGCCCGTCGACGCGCCGGCAAGCGCGCCAGGGGACGTGCCGAGAGGACCCGATGCGGGGCGCGACGGGGAGCGCCCCGCGAGACGAGCCGGGGGGCGTGCCACGGAACTCGTCGGAGTGCGTGCGGAGAGGCCCCCCCACGGGCCTGCCGCGGAGTGCTGCCAGGGGCACGCGCCGCGCACGCGCCGTGGGGGACGCGCCTGGTGGGCCCGCTGTCCACCACCACCACCATACGCTGAGTTGGAGGGGGGAGGGGGTCATCCTCCCCCTCCTCTTCCTCCTCCTCGTCCTCCTCCTCCTCCTCCTCCTTCCTCCCTCCAGCTCCTGCCGGCGGCGGTGGGCCACGAGCCCATCAGCGCCAGCTCACGCACCAAGGGGCTTTCCACCGGGACATGCCGGGGGACGTGCTGGGGGGCAGGCGTGCCGGGGGGCGCGCACGCCAGGGGGCGTGCAGAGGACGCGCCGGGGGACGTGCCGCAGGGCGGGCCAGGGCACGGCCCGCCCTGCTCCGCAAGTCGTCTGCGCTGGGCCCGCGCTTCCACCGCCACGATCGCTGGTACAGTCGGGGCGTTGGCCAAAGGAACCCTAAATAAGGAACGAGGCCCCTTTTTCCCATAGGTTCAGCCTCGATTTCCCATGGAAGACCTCAGGAAAACCCGAGGTAAACTCTGAAGCAGACAAGGAACACCGAGCCCCTCCCCAACGAAAAGGGTTCCTTCTTCAGGGCCCCGACTGTACACGTCGCTGGGGCCCGCGCTCCCAGGGCCCGAACCTCTGGGATTTCCAGAGGGTCGGAACTCACAGCGCACAGACACCTGGCAGCTTGAGCCAGATCCGAGCTCCCAGCAGATGCCGCTCGGTCCGCGCCACCCTGGCGCGGCGAGGCTTCGCCACTAGGGGGCCACGTGCGAACCCGACCCCTACCCCCCACGATTTCTGAGGGGGAGGGCGGGGTTCACTTCGCCCGGGAGCTCCCGCACGTCGTGAACCCCACCCTCCCCCTCAGAAATCGTGGGGGGTAGGGGGAAGGGTTCGCACGTGGCCCCCTAGCAACGTACACTGCGACCGCCTCCCCGGAGCCAACCTCTGGTAGATTAAAGTGGGTCCGCGGTCCCTGGGCCACGACCCCTCGTAATTTACCGTCCGCGCGGCCAAGGCCAAGTTCCATTGTAAAGTACAGTCGGCCCGTATCAGAAGGTGCGCGATAAGGGTATAAGGGCCTTGGACGCCCAATTCGGAGCTGTTCGAGCGGGGCGCGGCCAACGAAAATGGCCAAGGATGGGCGGAGAAGGCAAGGATGCCAGGGTACCCTTGGGAAGGCTGTCCATCCTTACTATACGGGTCGACCGTAAGCTAGGTCAGGAAGCCCGGGGCCACGATCCTGCGTTAAAAGTTGGCTGGGCCCGTCCTGCCAGGACCTCCTGGGGCGCCTCCTGGGGCGCCTCCTGAAACCTTCGCACCCCGATACTTATAGATCATCAGATGGGGACAGCACGCCATTCTTTAGTTGGCGCGCGCGGGGTCGTTAGACTTAAGTCAGGCATGTCCCCCTAAAGGGGGGTTTTGGACGACGAACGAAAAATACCAAAAGCATGCCCTTGAATAGTCAAACAATGATCAAACGATCGTTCCACAAGTATTGGTTCACTGTATTTGAATATTCTTCCTGTAGAGGGACAGGCCCGACTGAACGTTCGACAAGCCCACTAGTTTGCTTCAAATGGCCCTAGTCGAAACTGTCGGCGTTTGTCCCCGACGGTGCGGACGCCCCCTGGAACGAACGAGGCGCGCGGGGCCCAGGGGTCCCGGCAAGCGCGGCGGTCAGGCCCGGTCGACAGTCGCAGTGGCCACCAGCTCCAACAGCCCCAGAGCCCTGGGCGAAAGACACCCGCGCGGAGGAGGAGGAGGAGGAGGAGGAGGAGGAGGAGGAGGAGGAGGAGGAGGAGGAGCGGGAGAGGGAGCGGGGGTGGGGGCGGGAACCCTGGGCGCGCAAAACAAATCTCAAACCGAGTGGTGCGAGACACCAACAATCAAGAGCCTGCAGCCTGTCTGAAGAGGAGGAGGAGCAGCAGCAGCAGGAGCAGGAGTTCGTCATCGCTTTCGCTGTTATCTTAAAGCCTGATATGGCATGCTCACTCTGCCGCAGTGTGACTTGACACGGTATGGTATGCCCTGCGTTGCGTCACCATGCTGTGACCACCAATGCGTGTGCGATTAGAGGTTGTTCAGAGATGCTGTTTCAGTTGTTGCCAAGTCGTTTAAGTATGTTGGAGCGCGCGGGCCCCAAACAATGTGTCTCTTGTAGCTTATGTTGTGCAATCTAGGTGGTTGAATCTAGGTTATCCTCATCCTCGCGAAGGCGCGCATAGCGAGTCCTCGTTTTTGAACACAATCTTGAACACGATGTCGTCGATAGCCCACACACGCACCAGCTTGACCGGCGGCACCTGCGGGACGGTGCCTCCTCCTCCTCCGCCTCTATCTGCCTATCCGCCCCATTCTCTTATCACGCCATCCGTGTCCATAGGACTCCCAAACTTTTCCTCCTCCCTCCATCTCCTGCCCCTCTCCTCCCCCCTCCGCTCCATCCTCCTCCTCCTCTTCCTCCTCATCCATTCCCTCTTCCTCCTGGACAACTCCTTCCCATCTTACAACCAGACGTGTGCATAGGACGGGAGTCGCATCTCGCCTGTGACTGCACCACCAGAGCGCACTGATATGTAATCGTGAAAACTGACTTGCCGAACAACCACACGATGTGAGAATGGCCCGCTCTCGAAATCTATCTCCCGCCCGACTGGCCCCAGAACCGTGGCAACGTCGAGCGGAAACCCCGTTCTGGAAAGGAGCCCGCCCTCCCAGGTCTGCGCTGGACCGGATCGCGACACTTGATCGGATCGAGAGCGGGTCGAATCGCCAGCGAATCCTCCCGACTGGGATCGGCAACGAATCGCCGCGCCCCGCTTCCAGCTGCTCCTGGCCAATGCAGTTGAATAGAGCCGGATCGCATCGGATTGGAATCGCGGCCCCAGCATCGAATCGGATCGTCGGCGGCCCTGCCTCCGCCCCTTCCGCTGGCACGCAGCACTTGCATCTCCCTGGCGTTCCAATTAGATCGGGCCTGTCCCCCTAGATCGGGATGCTCCAAACATGCTCGGAAGTACTCAGAGCTTCGCCCCAGGCTATTTTTCGACTATCTTTGGATATTCATCCTGTAGAAGGACAGGCCCGTCTTAAAGTTGCAAGCTAACAGTATCTCGGGCGAGAGGCCAGGAGGAGGAGGAGGAGGAGGAGAAGGAGGGGGAGGAGAAGGAGGAGGAGGAGGAGGAGGAGGAGGGGGAGAGGGAGGAGGAGGAGGAGAAGGAGGAGCAGGAGAGGGAGGGGGAGGACGGAGGAGGGCAGGATAATAATGAGTACACAGCGAGGAAAGAGGCGGGAGAGGAGTAATGGAGAAGCGAGAAGGATGACAAAACAGAGCCAAGAGGAAGCAGAGAGGACCCGGAGATTGAGGGGGAGGAGGGCACGAGGGAAGAGGAAGAGACATGACGGAGAAGTGGGAGAAGAGCGGGGGAACATGATAGACAGACGGGGACGGAGGAAAAGGTGGAGAGATGAACACCAAGGGAAGCGTCAAGGTCCTCCCACTTCTCCGTCATGTCTCTTCCTCTTCCCTCCTCCTCCTCCTCCCACTTCCCCGCCAGCTTCTCATTCTGCCCATCCCCATCCCCTCCAAGGCCTCGCCGTCCTACCCTCCATCCTAGATGTTCATTTCCTCATTCTCCTCTCCCTCGCAGGTTCCCGTTGTCCTGCTCCAGCTCCTCCTCCTCCTCCTCCTCCTCCTCCTCCTCCCCTTCCTCCTCCTTTGCTTCCTCTTCCTTCTTCTCCTCGTCTTTCTCATCCCTCTCCTGATCCTCGTCCTCCTCCTCCTCCTCATCATCATCATAAACATCACAACCACCATCACAATAAAAACTATTAACAATAAACACCATCATCATGATCATCATCAGCATCCTCATCATCATCCTCATCCTCATCAGCATAATCATCATCACCATCCTTCCTCCCTTAAACACCGAACTCTCCTACACATTGTCGTCCTCCTCGTCGTCATCAGCATCATCACCATCATTACCATCATCACCACCATCACCATCGTCAGCATCTTAATCATCATCATCATCATCATCATCATCATCATCAACATCATCATCATCATCATCAACATCGTCATCATACTTATGACCACCATCATCATCAGCGTCATCATCACTTTCATCAGCATCGTCACCGTCTGCATCACCATCATCACAATCATCATCAGCATCATCATCAGCATCACCATCATCATCCTCATCTTCAGCATCATCAGCATCATCATCATCATCATCATCATCATCATCATCATCATCAGCAGCAGCATCCCCCTCTCATTTCCTACTCGGAATCCTCGGTATCTTCACTCTCCAGCTGCTCCTCGTCCCACTCATCCACCCTCGTCTTCCTCATCCAACTCCTCCTCTTGGTCATCATCTGTCGTATCTGTCCCCACCCTTTCATTCTCCTACGTCGTACTATGTATGTTATTTTCCTCCTCATGCTCCTTATACTGCTGCCGATGCTCACTATCTTCATCCTCCACCTCCTCCTCCTCCTTCTTCGTAGTCTCCGCCCTCCCCCTGTAGCAAGTCCATATGGCGCCTCCTGCAGAGCCTCCTTTGGAAGTGTGGCGGGCCGAGCGGGCTAGATGATTGCCGGCTAGGTGTGCCTGGCGCCAACGCACCGGGGCTGCTTGCCGGCGGAGTGGCCAGTGGCTGCGCCTACTGGCCACATGCTCGGCGCAGTGTTCGGCTGCGCGCCACGCGCCAAGTGCGCAGGCGGCTCCCTGGCTTTGCCTCTTAGGAGGCGCCAGCCCTGCATCTGCAGGGCGAGGGCCGCGCCTTCTGAGAAGCGGCCTCCTGCCGAGAGGCCTCCCCCCCTCCCCATCGGCCCCCCTTGCGCGCGGGCGACCGTGCCCGCCCGCCAGAGGAGAGCAGCCGCCGCGAGCGCCGCTGCCGCCCCGAGAGCGCCCATGGGAGCAGCGCCCGCGCCCGCGCCCGCGCAAGCCCGGGGGCCCGCGCAGGGGGGCGGTGGCGCCCGCGGCGGGGCGCGCCGCCGCCCCGCGGAGCGCACTCGGCGATGTGGCCTCGGCCCGGAAAGCGGACCCCCCGGGGGAGCTGAGGAGGAGGAGGAGGAGGAGGAGGAGGAGGAGGAATCTGAGAGCGACGGGCAGTGGGCAGTAGTCCAGTGGCAGCATGGGCCGTGGCCTGGAGTCTCTAGGGCGCGCGCGCGCGTGCTAGTGGCATCCTGGCGTGACTCTCGCGCGAGGGTGTGCTCGCTGCGGCAAGCAGAGGCGCTCCGCGCAGCTGATGGTACCAGGACTGCCAGGTGCGGCCGCGGCTTTGGTCCGATGGGCGCGCAGCCTCGCTGAGCTGCAACTCGGTGCGCCCATCGCCGTCTGGAGCGGCGTGCCGCCAGCCCCCGCGGGCTGGAGGCCAGCACTCTCGGCGGCGGCGCCGCGTGCTGATTTCGCGCACGTCGCCGAGAGCTTCGACAGCTGGGCAACTCAGCGTGTGGTCTGCGACGGCGAGCTCGCCCCCGACGCCGCCGGGGCCCTCCGCGCCGCGCTGGCCGGGAACGTCATCACGGAAACCGTCGCGTCGAGGTGGGGCCGGCCAGAGCGCTCCCCTCACTGCGGCGCGACACGCGAGGGCCGCCTGCACCGGCTCTGGGGGTGCCCGAGGTGGCCTGGCGACCGCAAAAAGGGGCTCCCGCGGCTGGCGGCATGTCGGCGGCCGCCCTCCCGGCTCGCTTGCCACAGGGGCTCGCGAACTCCTGCGTGCTCCTGCTAGGCGCTAGGCGCCAGCCTGGCCGCGCTGAACGCCGCAGGACCTCCCGCCTCCCGGTGCCGCCGCTCTCCGTGCCCTCGCTGCCGCGGGATGGAGTACAGTCCACCCACTTCGTATAAATGGACAACCTTCTCCTCGGTCCATCCTTGGCCACTTTCGTTGGCCGCGCCCCGCTCGAAAAGCTTCGAAATGGGCGTCCAAGGCCCTCGAATCCTTATCGCGTAACCTTGCTACACGGGCTGACTGTGCATCTTGCGAGGCCTGGGGCGTCGCGAGAGGACCGCAGCGGCCCCGTGGACGGCGTGCTGGCCGCCCAGCGCGCCGAGGTCACAGCCAGCGCTGCAGGCCGCTCACCTTGCGGGCAGGGCAAGCCTGGGGAGCTGGTCACGGACTCACGAGTTAGAATTAGGTCGGTCCTGTCCCCTATACAGGCGGATTTTTGACGAAACGGAACACATAGTAAAATCAGATTCAAAGAATGATCCAACATCATTGAAACATCATCCCCGAACGATGTTTTAACTACTCTTGACTATTCCCCCTGTAGAGGGACAGACTCGACTGAAAGTGAGATGTCCGGGTTGGCAGGGCTGCGCTCGGCCACGGCGCAGCGGCGCTCGGGGCCTCGGAGCAGGGCCGCATCGGCAACGCCGCTGCAGCCCGGCTCGCAACGGCCTGCTGCAGCAGCAGAGAATGCTCGCCGCAGGCGGGCATCCTGCAGGGGCGCGCGCTCCCGCTGCGCGCGCTCCAGGTCCTGCAGCGGATGCTCGCTGCCGTGGAGCTGGCGGCAGGAAAAGATGATGATGATGATGAGGAGGAGGAGGAGGAGGCGGAGCAGCAGGAGGAGGAGGAGGAGGAGGAGGAGGAGGAGGAGGAGGAGGGACGGGTCAGGCCCACGCAGGCCCCGCGTGCGGCGCCGCTGGGCTGGGCCTGCCTCCGCGGCGACGCGTGCCCTGGTTGGCAGCTCGACGCCGCGGTCGCGGCCGCAGCGGCGCCGCCCGGGCAGCAGGGCCTGGCCGACGCGGGGCGGCGGCCGCGCGCGGCAGAGGCGGCGTGTGCGCTATTCCCCGGCCGGGCTTGGAGGTCCCACGTCGCCGTCTCACGGCCCAGCTCGGGCCGGGCCGCTGGCCTTCTGTGCCTCGTTCGCCGCGCGCCGGCCGTGCTGCCTCCTGCCTATAGGGCGGGGACCGGACTGCGCTGCGCCCCGTCCTGCCTGCTTTCCGTGTTTCTCCTCCTCCTCCTCCCTCCTCCCTCCTCCTCCTCCTCCTGCTCCTCCTCCTCCTCCTCTTTCTTCTCCTCTGTCCCCTCTGTCTCTGCCAGTGCGCACTCTGCGGATGGCAGCACGCCGAAGGTGGGTGGGGGGGGGGCCCCCTCTGCACGCCAAGCTTACGAAATCCAAACAAACGAAAAAAATAAGGAGGGAGACAGGGAGGGAGGAGGATTGGGATGAGGTTCTTCTTCTCGCAGGGGGAGGATCAGGAGGAAGAGGGCTCCAGAGAAGGAGGCGGCGAGGGCGAGGAGGTGGGAGCGCATGGAGGTGATAGATCAGGAGGGGCAGGAGGATGTCTTTGGAAATCGGCTGGGCCCTCTGGAGGCCCGCTGGAGGCAGCCCTCTGACACAACACATCGCTGCTCTTCGATCCTCCAGACATCTCTTCAGACCCCCGACGTCATGATTCATGACGTCGACCCCCAGAGGTCTCGACCCACTCCCCGGGACCAGTCTTTCATCCTGGCCGAGGCCGGTAAGGTCCCCCAGAGGCGGAACATGAGGAAAAAGCTCCCGTCGTGGAAAAGCTGACAACTCTCGCTACTCGTCGATCCTCCGTCCCCAAAAGAGGAGGCCGATGAGGGAGGAGCTGGCGCCGAGAACGGAGAGGAGGAGGAGGAGGACCAGTGTAAACCCAAGAATTCATCAACGATGCTGGAATTAACCCTCCATCCAAGCTCCTTCTTCATAGGCCCCTGCAACGGTTTATTAAAATTGGGCGAACTGCCTCGTTGGGAGACAACCGTTTGAAGATCCTGAAGCATACAACAAAATTGCTCTCGGGACTCAACGCTACGTATCAACCTGACTGCTGCGTTCTGGCGATCCTGAATCGTGCCATGACGTCATTCGCTTGATTTCAACACCGGGAATCAATATAACTGTTGCGCCCGCACAATCCTGAATGCGTCCGAAGCACAAAGTTTGGCACGTTTTCCATGGGAAGCAATGGAACTCTTGCGCATGTTGAAAACGAATGTGTGCGGCGCTAAGGCGAGAACAAAAGTTTGACAACGACCCGCCCTCAATCCGTGACACGTTTGCATGTCTTGCAAAGAATGTGAGCGGCGCTAAATCGAGAGCCACATTTTGATAACGACCCGCCGTCAATCCGTGAAACTGTTGCACATGTTTACAACGAATGTGCGCGGCGCTAAAGCGAGAGCAACATCTTGAAAACGACCCGCCCTCAATCCATGAAACTCTTGCCACTGTTTACAAAGAGTGCGCGCGGCGCTAAGGCGAGAACTATATTTTGAAAACGACTCGCTCTCAATCCGAAAAAACTCTTACATTTTCATACAAAAACAATGTGCGCGGCGCTAAGGCGAGAGCCACATTCTGATTTGAAAACGACCCGCCCTTAATCCGTGAAGCTGTTGCATTTTTGGAAACATGAATTTGCGCGGCGCCAAGGCGAGAGCCACATTTTGAAAACGACCCGCCTTCCATATGTGAAGTTGTTGTCATTTTCAAGCTTCAGAGGCAAAGATGGTGAGTCTCAGGCGGAACGCCCGGCCCGCCCTAAAAACTGGTCTCGGGGTGCGACAGGGAGAAGTTATCTACGTATAAGGAGAAGGAATGGAGGATGAGAAGGAAGAGGAGGGAGGGAGGGAGGGAGGGAGGGAGGGAGGGAGGGAGGGAGGGAGGGGGAGGAGGAGGTTGGAGCGTCTGGGGGGCCGCGTGTCTTCCCCACCTACCGCCTCTGGGGGCGGGGCCACCTTCGGCGCTGATCACCGAGGGGCATTTCGACAGCTTGAAGTGCTGCACGAGCGAGCGAGCGAGCACCATTGTCACAAAACGGGATGGCGCGGGCTTTGCTCTCTTGGTGAGCTAGCCGATAGAGCTGAAAATAAAACGCGGTGAATTTGAAAGTCTCGGGGGTGGGGTGGATCAGTCCCAGAGCCAGGAGGGGGTCCAAAAACGGGTGCGCGGGGAGGTCCGCTCTTAATTGCCTACGAGCAAGCCGATACATCGGGTCGCACCAACAAGAGTAATGCTTCAGCGAGTCGCGAGCCCCAGGACATCCCCAGACGCAACCCCTATACGAGTTGCGCATCCTGAACTCGGTGATCCAGCCCCCTCCCCACGTCTTGATGCAAGCACTGCGCCAAAACGGCGGAATGCGATGCATCACCGCAGCAACGGCAGCCCAGTCGATCGCACCAGCGCCGGCATCGTGGACCCCAAACCAACGTCTGAGGCGCCCTTGCGGGCGGAGATGGAGGCGCGGGAGCCGAGGATCGGAGCGAAGGTACGAACGAAGGAGGGAGGAGTAGAGGAGAGACTGCGGACGCACACGCCGCAGGGGAGCCTGCCGCTCGTCCTCTGCAGCATTGCTGAGGCGCCTGCGACGAGCCTCGCTGGAGACGACCTCGCGGAGGGCGCGCGCAGCCGACGGGCGTGGGCCCGTCCCGCTGCTCGACGCCGCTCTCTCCAGCGTCGTCGCAATGGCCTCAGATCGCCACCAGCATGGCCACGGGCATCCACGGACCGTGCGCACCAGAGGCAGGCGCCGCAGCGCGGCTCCTCGGAGCTGCCTCGCAGCCGTTCGCCAGGAGCCCAGCGTGACCACCGCCGCCCGCACTAGGGCTGCCTCGCAGAGGGTCGTGGCGGACGGGATCTGCGGGCCGCCGACAGTGCTGAGCTCGCGCCACTCCCTGTCCCCCAAGAAGCTGCCAGGAAGGCGCAGCAGGTGCGCCAGCCTCCCGCGCTCGAGCTTCTTCAGAGTGGCAGGGGCCTCCATCATCTGCGCCTTGTACGAGAGGACGGGCACGCAGCGCTCTTGGTACAGATGGATGGCCGCGTGCACGTCCTCGCGGCTCCTGGAGATCTCTCCGACGCGTTCAGAGCATTTCCTCATCGGAGTACGCCATTGAGCCTCCTGCGTCACACCAGGTCCCAGCAGCACGCCCAGATATTCAAGATGGTCCACGATGGGGAATGCCGCCCAGTCCTGGTCCGCAGCCACCAGGGAGTCCCGCGCCCGATCCAGCGCGCCAGCACATTGCGGGTCTCCCAGCGGGATGGCACGGCACTTTGCAGGCTTGATCACCAGGCCTGCCAGGAGCTTCGCGCCACGGAAGATTCGGGCCAGCGTGGCCAGCCCACGCTGGGGCATCACCGCCGCGCCAAGGTCGTCAGCGCACCACCTCGAGATGCCCCGACGCTTGGAGTCCAGGTTGGATTTCAGGTCCTGGCCGAACGGGTGGGCGGCGAGGACGAACAGCGTGCCGCTGGCGGGGCCGCCCTGAAGGACGCCCGAGCGCACCGAGTAGAGCGCCGCCTTCGTGCGGGAGGCCGCTAGGGCAACGACTCCGCCGTAGTTGACCTTCGGCGCGTCCTGGAGCCCCTGGGGGGCGCCCATGGCACGCAGCGAGCCGAAGAGCCAGTCCTGCGCGATGCTCGGGAAGGCCTGCCCCCAGTCGAAGGAGATGAGGAAGGGGGGGTCGGAACTCCCCGCAGCCATGGACAGCGCGCGGGAGTGCGAGTCCAGCTCGACTATGTTGTCGCAGAAGTTGCGCCCGAATATGAAGCCGCGCTGCGTGTCCACGCAGCGCCGCTCCGCCATTCTCTTCATGCATAAGTTGAGGGCCCACATGACGGCCTTCTTGGAAGTGTTCTCCAGCGCAAGCGGCCGAGTCTCGCCGGCGCGCCTGAGGACTTCATGAGGGTCATCAGCACGCGTCTCCTTGGCAGGGAAGACGGCGACGGTGTAGTTCCACTCCTGGCGCATGGGGAGGCCGTCAAGCTGCCGCGCCAGTGCTTCCGCCAGCGTCTCGACCCCCATCGGCGTGGCGAGCCATGCCTTGGCCCCGAGGCCGTCGGGGCCAGGGGCTGACTTGCGGGCCTTGCGGAGAGCCAATGCCACGGTGTGAGCCGAGGGGGGCTCGATCGAGGCCCAGTCAGCTTCCTGGATGCCATAGCGGTGGAGATATCCATCCTGGAGTTCCCGTCGGCGCTGGACAGCACGAGGAGCATCTCGGGGGAGGTGTACCATGATGCCGTCCTGGAAGGTCATGGGGACGCCGTGCGGGTTGGTGACTAGGTTGCGCATCATCTCTTCCGCAGACTGCTTCCGTTTGACCACGTCGTCGCCGAAGACGCCTCGCCAGTAGTGCGCGAGCGCTCTCTGTATGTCCTGCTCCGATCGCGCCACTGTGCCATCGTCCAGCTCGATGCCGCCCAGGAAGCGTCGGGCCGACGACGGCGCCCACATGGCCGCACGCCGACGAAGGGCCCTCTGCTGCCTGACCATCGCTCCCTTGTTGAACTCGCGCCGTCCCCCGTCTATGTCATGTTGGTGCTGGCGGAGTCGGGCTTGCATCTCACGGTGTTGCGCCAGGCGGTGCCGACGAGAGAAGCCCTGAGGGTCGAGGAGCACCGCCTGGTCTCTGCCCAGACCTGGGTGATGGCGAAGCTCGATCATCTGGCTTGTCCACGCATGCTGTCGCAGGAGGGTCTCCGCCATCCGAGAGTCCTGACGCGATGTCGCTCGACCAAGTTGTCTCCAGATCAGCGCCGTCGGCGACCGCAGACCAGGCTCACCACGAAGAATGGCATCACGGGTGGCGGCTGCTGCCGTCTGCAGTATCTTCGTGTGGTAGTGTACCCGATCGGGAGGAGAGAGGTCATCCAGGGGGACCGCATCCTCGCACTTCCTGATCATCTCGCCGAACAACGGATTCTCCGAGACGAAGGGCGGGACAGGATTGATGACGCCCGTAGTAGGTCTCTTTCTCGGTGGGCGGGGAGCCCAAGCTACCGAGAACATCGCGTGGTCCGAAAGCCCGTCGAGGTGCATCTCATGGGGCTCCCCGTGCACCTGCCCATGCTGAGAGGTCTGCGTGAGTAACCATCGTGGGGAACCAACCCAAATCTTGTCGATCGAGGTGGCGA